CCTCCCCACTCCCCTCCCCCCTCCCTCCCTCTCTCGACGGGAGCTACAGAGCTCGATCTCTCTGATTTTCACCCCCAGCCAGGCTATCGGCCTATTTTGATTGCCATTAGTAGTACCCTCTCACACACACACGACGAACTTTTAACCTACTGTGAAAACCCCCGTACATACGGACGTACATACTTACAAACTGTCTCCCATACCTCATCCACTCCTCCACAAGGTCGGTGTGTTCGATTTACCTTAGTGTCTCTACTTCTGCACATCGTTGACAGTTGTTCCACTCCTCCTCTTCTTCCACCCCTCTTCCCCTGTTATTTTGCCTGGATCTTGGGTACATGCACCCTTGTGTTGATCGCTTAGTAGCGACCGATGGCCAAATAACCTCACCAGACCGGCTTGGCTCCTAGTCTTGCCTCTGTGCCCTACCCAGTACTGCCTGTCATCCTTGAAATCCCACACCGCCATCGCTTCATTTGTGAACCGGTATGCCCAGTCGACTTCTGGGTGGCTCGATTCATGTTCATTGTTGAAACAAAAGGCTAATTACTGACAGGCCACTGACTTGCACAAGCAGCGACCCCGACTGGCTGATCATCTCTCGCCTTCTTTCGCCTTTATCTTCCTATCGTGCAAACTGGAGTGCATGGTGTTCAAGCAACACAGAGGGATCTGAGGCGTTGAGGTCCACTACTGAGCTATTCAGCTCGCAGCGAAGAACTCCCCAGTCGTCTTCACTAATACCTCGATCTTTAGCCGAGGCGCAACTGAACTGGGCTCCGGGACTACTCGAGTGTCCGTCCCAGTCCACCAACTGCTTGACCGCACATCAACAGCATTCGTGCTCGCGGGAATCCGCGACAATGTCCTCCTGATTTGCATGGCCTACCTTTTGAGTTGATTATTGGCTGCTTCATTTGCAAACAGCCAGACGCTCCGGGCCTAGCGCGCAAGTCTCTGTTGAGCAGACACCCAACGTACGCCGCTGCATTCGACTGCCTGTCGCAAGGTGCGACGACTCGCTTCAATGCATCGCATACCGCACCCCGATGGATCGCATGGTCTGCCTAGCACGTCCGGTGGGTTTGACCAGCCATGGCGTCCTCCCTACACGCCCGCTTTCGAAACCCACCCGGCGGACCAGCGGCGCACATCCAGCGCACCACAGCCCCCGCTGCACCCGCACGCGTATTCGGTCATGCCAAACCGCGAGCTGCCACAGCTCCCCCCCGACGGGCCCTATGCTCGGCAAAGTAGTCTACCTGGACCCCCAACCCATACCCCTCCAGAGACCCATCCGCCACCCCCTCCACCGCACCCTGCTTTTCGACCAACGATAAACGGTACGTCGCATGAGCCAACACCTCATTCCGCTCCCCCGGAGTATCGACCCCCAGTCGCGCGAATGTCCTTCCCTCCGCCAGATACCCCCGGTGTTGTCGGTGATGCCCCCCCGCCTTCGCAGGCACTACCCCCAGCCCAGTACACGCCCCCGGTGCCGCATCTCTCGCAAACTCCTACACCTTATGACTCGGCTTTCTATCCGAATCAGGGGTTTGGAATGCGCCATCGCAAGGCCGCTCGGGCTCAACAGGTAATTTGACGTCTTTTCCTGAACCCGTGGCCGCGAAGAGGAGTGTGTCGACTGACTTGCTTAATGTCGCTATCTTTCAAGGCATGCGATCAATGTCGAGCAAGGAAAGCCAAGTGCGACGAAGGTCGCCCAGCGTGCAGTCACTGCAAAGAAAACAATCTGATATGTGTTTACAAAGAAGTTCCTCCTCATAAGTTTGTGTCCCCATCCGTTTGGCTTGCCTCTCGGCCATCTGGGTTTCCATGAGTCGCATGCTGACCGACCCCAAGACAAGAAAAGGCGACCCAACAGATCTTGGATCGCTTACAACAGTTCGAGGATGCAGTTACGGAGAGAATTGGACATCTGTTATCAATGCAAGTAGAGCATGGTAATCAGATCACCTCTCTCCTACAAGGGACCGGACTCCCAGAAACGAAGACTGTACAGGCTGCCGAAACGCAGAAACAATCTTTCAGCCGACTGTCCAAACCGGACATTGCAGATCTTCTCCAGAAGACCGAGACCAAAGACGAAGCAATATCCAATTTTGTGAATCGGGAGCTGGAAAAGGCTGCCGAAGGAGAACCACAGATGCTAGTCACCGGCGAAGATGGCGAGCTTTCCATCCCAGTGGAACATACAACGGCGGCCCACAAACTGCTCATGTGGCCATCAATCAAAGCCCTTCTTGCGCCCAGAGAGTACGATGAAGATTATGTGATGAGGCTTGAAGAAGAGCGCGGACTGATCTCTGTTTACGGGCGGGGTGAAGGCCAAACCGACAGCGAGGAGCTAACCGCGTCCTCCGCACCGAACGGAAATTCGACGCGAGAGCATGCCTACACCAACGATGCCGCCGCCGCCGCTGCTGCATTCTGGCCTCCTGTGACCCACCAGAATGGTACCCCCGCCAGAATCAGGCCCGAACCCTTGGATGAGAATGGGTACTTTATTACCGATGCGGAGACCGTTCGCCGACTCTATGCAAGCTACCTGGACCACATACACAAACTTCACCCGTTTCTCAATCAAACGGAACTGGAAGAACGGCTAGAGATCTTTATCGAACGGTATTGTCCTCCGTCCACTGCACCTGCTGCGCCCATTCTCAATGGCAACGGAAATGGCACCGGCGACTTCCCGCGGAGCGCAAAGCGAAAGCGATCCTGCGAGACTCTTCACGGCGCGGGCTGCGATGTTCAATCGCCCAGCTCCATCACGCTGGAGCGTCTCGGCTGCCGGCGCGTTGAGAAGACTTTGAAGAACGCGATCAATCTACTAGTCCTTGCGCTGGGGAGCATCTGTGCAGCTAAGCCTCCTCTTCCTGGGCCGGTTACCGAGATTCCCCGCGATTTCCGAGAGGAATCCATCCCCGGGCCCACCTCGCGAAATATGCTCTCCCGCGCGGATTCCGCGTCGGCCGCGCAAGGACCGCATCCACCGCAAGGCAGCTTTCACTCTCAACCAGATGGCCAATCGTTTTCCTCGATGGACAATCGCCGCGCATCTTCAGATCGCACGGTCCATTCGCATAATCGACGCAGATTACGCAACATGGATGTCATTCCAGGCTTGGCGTACTATGCGTATGCGACCCAGATCTTGGGCAGCCTGCAAGGTGCGAATAGCCTCGATCATGTTCAAGCCGCCTTACTTGCAGGGTTATACGCCGGACAGTTGGCGCACCCGTTTCAAAGCCACGGCTGGATATACCAAGCAGCGAGAGCTTGTCAAGTGCTGGTGCGAACGTAGGTCTCAATCCATCCGGGTCAGGTGTATGTATATGTCTGACCTCAAGTGAAATAGGAAACGATATGAACAGTATGTTGACGGTCCTCTCAAAGACTCGATTGACTTTGCATATTGGACCTGTTTGCAATTGGAAAGGTGCAGTTCCAGTCCGTGTCATCCAGCAGATCCCTCAAGAAACTAATCTATGATTTCAACCAGCGATATTCTCGCGGAGCTTGATCTCCCCGCCAGCGGCATCTCTCGCTCAGAAGGACGGATTTCCCTGCCAAAGGGGAAATATACTTTGACTCTGCCGAACGAGATCTCCGCCCCGAGTACGATGATGATGTTCTTCTATTCCGCGCAGATTCACCTCCGGAAGGTTCTCAATCGCGTCCATACGGATCTGTACAAAGTCGAAAGTGAGTTGAACCACGGATGTCGAGGCTTCGAACCATCGTGGCTAATACTCACTCAGGGAAAGGCGAATCACGCTGGTCTTCTCATGTTCAAGAAATCCTGAGCATGAATCTGGAACTCTGGAGAAGCAGTTTGCCTGAGGTCATGCGCTGGAAAGACACGGACCCCCCGTCAAAAGACATCAATGTGGCGCGCATGCGTGCCAAGTACTACGGTGCCCGGTATATCATTCATCGGCCACTCCTCTTCCATGCTCTGCATTTTGCCAACGACACTGGACGCTCGGCGTCCGTTAGCTCCCCCACTGAATCCGCGATATCTGGCTCCAAGTCCCAACAAGTCTCTCCATCTGTGACACACAGCCAACGCGCAATCGAAATGGCACGCTTGGCCAGTGATGCCGGTCCGACCAGCCGGAGCGCACCCACCCCTACCCCGGGGGGTGGGGCCTGGGCATCCTATGCATATCGGGATCTTCAGCCCAAGATGCGTAGAGCGTGCAAGGTATGCATCGACTCAGCTATACTGAGTACCGAAGCCTTTGACGGAATCGAGGGCCGCCCTGTTGTGACCAATATCTTCGGCACAGCCCACGCGTAAGTGACCTCCCCTCCCCTCTCCCTCTGCTGATAACCGTACTGACGGATCGTTTCCTTTGTTAGTCAATTTGGTAATATGCTAGTGCTGTCGGCCACATATATGTCGAGTCTATCCGAGCTCGTTGACCGGACTGACCTGGAGCGACTGATGAAGCGAACGATTCGATTTCTTCTCCAGAGTCGCGAAATCTCGCCCAGTCTACGCGCGGATGCCAAGATCCTGAGCGAAATTTACGAGAAGATCTTTGGGGATAACATTGAAGCCCTTATGCATTGCGTCATTTGATCATGTTTGACCTATGAACACGGGGATCGCTGGCCCTGGCGCCATGGAGAAAACACCCTTCACGAGGCCTTGGCCTGTTGTCTAACCAGTGCAAAAATGAACGATAGTGCAGGATTCCTGCCCTCGTTTTCACCTGACTCCTTCCTACACATCCTTTCTCTCTCTCTCTCTCTCTCTCTCTCTCTCTCTCTCAGGTTCTTGCTAGGTGAGGAAATCCCAATAACACGGGTTCTGGTTTGGCTTTGATGTTTTTGGAACATATTGGCGGTATAGGGATCATGTACGGCAGCTTTCTAGATGCCCTCTGTTTACTTGTTCTGTTTGATGGATGCCTCAGCGATCGGCATCGGATCGATGCAGAGCGGGACGGCCGCGAGGCTTGTTGTCGGGGGTTAGTGTCACTTGTTCTTTTATGGTGTTTGGTCTAGGCCTTTTGTTTGTAGGCCCTGCTTCTGGGAGTTGATGTGGCATTGACTGTCTTGGGCTCCCCAGTCGGACGGTGAAATGGGAGGTATATCTGCTTGCATTTTCAGCGCATTAAGGGTGAAGACGACGCACATTACAATGCCTGCTTTCTATCTTATCTGTTGCTCTTCTTTGGCGTTTTCAATTGGGCGGCGGGCCATACAAAGCATATTGATCTTCGGCTGGGGGACGGTCTGTTGACGGACTGGGGAGGGAGTGCCTTCATCTTCTGTGTTGGTCTGGAACACCTTGCCTCTTTTGATTTGTCGGGCAAGTACCAAGTATTTTCCTTTTAATGATTCATCTGGTCTCGATTCCTGATCTGTATGTACTCCACTACTGCCGAGGCCGGATGATGCACTTAGACTCTTGGGTGCGGAGAATGCAAAACGGCTGGGAGCCTGTAGGAGCCAGTGGCAGATCATGATGGGTGGTGCGTATGCAGATTATAGTAAGTAACTACCGTACTAATCAGCTGACTTTGGAGAGATCCATAGCACCACAAGGAGGGTCCGCACGCAGTAACCAAGCCACAGCAGCATTTGATCGGTCGGCTTCCCTTCCCCCCGCCCTCAGCCTCACCGCGATTTTCTCCGCTGCCAGTAGTCCATCACTGACCAACCAGACAAACAAACAGTAACAACAACCACAACAAACAAGACAAGACAAGACACCGACCGATCGACAGCTCAGTTTCTACGCCTTGTGCTTCCCCAGGCCCTGGCACGTTCTTCTTCTTCCTCTCAGCCTTCATTCCATCATCATCATCATCATCATCCGTCACCCATCTTCAACATCACATCACATCTGGATACAGAGCTTCCTTCCTTTTATCACTCTCTTACCCCACATTCCAGCTGGCCTTCCCTCCGTATAACCAGCTGCTTTTTACCATTGCTGTCGGCTTAAGAGTGAGTGGTTCCATCTCGTCTCCATCTCCGCTTGCTGGGAGTTTCCACCTTTTTCTCTCCCCCTCCCGGGTTTCCCACCACCACCGATCCACGGTTCGTTTCCGTACTGTTTACTTACTTTTGCTGCTGCTGCTGCTGCTACTTACCCCGTGTACTCTGTACACAGTGCAATCTTATCTATCACCATCCCCAGCCTCCTGGTGCTCTCTTTCTTCTCCCTCGTTTCCCTCTTTTCCTTCTTATTCACAATCTCTCTTGTCGTACTGTGACTCTTCCTTTCCCTTTCCTTTTCCCTTGTTCATTGATTCCTTCCCACCGCCTGCCTTTCTTTCTCTTTCCTCATCCCCAGCCTCCT